CTGGGCACCCTGCTCAGCGGGGAGTCTGGTTCTCCCTCTGCCCCTCACCCTCGCTCCGCGCGGGCACGCTCTCAAATAAATAAATAAAATCTTAAAAAAGCACACAACAGGAGATTGTTTCCTGTTATTTTGTTGAGAGTGTGGCCGTGATGCTCTGTGTCTCTGCATCCTAAGGGGAGAGACGTCCCTGCTTCCTGTCTTGATTCAACAGACAATAGAGGTGTGCGGCTGAGCACCTGTGCCATTATTCCCATTGGGTAAAGTTAGAGAAACTTTGGAGTCAAAATGAATATATACTTAAAAAATTTGATAGCTGTTGCCGAATGGCTTTCCCGAGAGATTTCCACACCCCTATCCAGAGTTGTGACAGTGCTTGTCTTATGTGCCCGTGGAAACTGTGCTTGCTTAGTAGACTTCTAATAAAGATAGGGGTGGTATTGGGAATCTAAGTAGAAAGTGCCAAATATCCATACACTAAAATTTTTGTCCCTTTGGACTTCAATCATTTGTTCATTGATTCAACAAATTATATTGAACTTCTAAGAGCCAGATATTGTGCCAGACAAGGTCAATAAAGCAAAGAAAACAGATAAGGGACCTACCTTCATGGAGTTAATTTCTGGACGGAGTAGATAATGCACAAAAAAGCAGCATGTGTCAGATGGTACTAAGGAGAGGGTTACAGTGCAGGGTATTTCCATTATAAATATGTGGGGGAGGTGAGGTTTGACTGAGTGACCTTTGAGTAAAGAGCTGAAGCAGGTGCAGGAGTGAGCACTGTGGTTATGTGGCCAGAGAAGGAAGTTCAGGCAGGGAAAGTTCAAAGCGCTGTGGTTGTGGGGCAGGGAAGAAGATTCAAACCCTGGGAGGTGGGAGCGTACTTGCCATCCATGGATGGTGTGGTTGGAGTAGCAAGAGCAGGGGAAAAGTCGTAAGAAATGAGGTCAGAGAGGTACTGGCATGGGCCTGTTTCACTGAAGCAGGAAGCCATGTTTTATTTATTTATTTAATTTTTGTAAAGATTTTATTTATTTATTTGAGAGATAGTGAGTGAGAAAGAGAGAGCAGGAGCAGGGGGAGAGAGAGGAAGAAGACTGCACACTTAACAGGGAGCCTGACACAGGGCTCTATCTTGGGATCCCAGGATCCTGGGATCATGACCTGAGCAGATGCTTAACCAACTGAGCCACCCAGGTGACCCAGGAAGCCACATTTTAGAAAAGGTACTGAACAGCTTGTTGTGGGCGAAAAATAAACTCACAGTTTCCTGTTTACCAAGGATGTAGAAAAATTTAATAGCACTCCTGTGCGTTGATTGTTTTCTGGCTCATTCTTACTTCTTTCCCTTCTTGTCTTTTAACCGTATCTGGGCCGAGACATTGTCTTTGCTTATTACAGTTTAGATGGATAGCAACTAAGTAATCAGAAGTAAACATGAACAGAAAAAAAAAAAATCCTGCTTTTCTACTTATATTGTTTAGGAATTCAAATTCAGAAACACAAAAGCCATCTGTAAAAATTTCAAAGGAAGGTACATTTTCAGGATATAGAAGAAACATGCCTGGCTGTTGTGTGTGTGTTGAACATATCAAAATTACTAGATGGGATTTGAATATAGATCTTTTTTCACAGACCATTGGATTGGGTGTGTTCTTGGGAAAATCAGTAGTGCCCTGTCTTTTGAATTCATTCTGATCAACATGTAAAACACAACAGCTAGTGACAAAGGGAAATAGAAAGTGAAGCATGGCAGTCGATCTAAAATCTCCTTGGGAAGCCAAACTTAAGTAGTAACTCTTCTAAGAAATAGGTGTAGGAGAGGGTTTCTCAACGTTGGAGCTACTGCCCTTTGGGCTGGGTAATTCTGTGTTGTGGGAAGCTGCCCAGCATCGTGAGCTACGGAAGCAGCATCCTTCCACGTGCCCACTAGATGCTAGTAGCACCCTGCAGTTGCAACAGTCAAAATGGTAAGTTGCCAAAAGCAACGCCCCCGCCCCCCCAAGGCAACTTTCTCTTCTCCCCTCACACCTCCCTCCTTGAGAATCAGTCCCATAAATAATACCCTCGTGTGTTTGTTTGACTTCATTTGAGTTCATCCTCGCAACACAGCCTGAGAGAGAGAGAGCTAGATTTCAGGTAGGAGAGGAAGAGCTCACCACAGATGAAGAGCCGTTGGGGATGGCCCTGGAGTTCAAGAGGAGGCCTGGGTGAAAGCGTGGACATCAAGGGAATGTCAAAGAAGGCCTGTTCCCTTCCACGTGGGACTCCAGAGTGGTGGTGGCTATTAGCACATTTGGTGTGGCTGGGGACAAGCCACAGAGCTGTGGATGCAGACTGAGGGTGGGACATTCAAGCTGAGGCAGGCTACGGGGTGGGGGGTCCCCATTCCCAATGCAGTTCCTGCACGAGCAGCAGCAGGAGAATGGAGACATCAGTGGCCAGGAGGGTCTCCAAGGAACTGAAGCTTGCCGTAGTGTGTAGACAGTAGTAGCAAAGATCTGGCCTGGGGCACCTTTGCAGTAGTGAATGGCAGGAGCTGTGGCTTGGTGTGATTTAGGGGATGTGAGAGATATTCCCTAGGCACTTGGAGAAATTTTGGAAACTCTAAACGAGCACACCAGCTAAGGTTCTGCCAGTCATTTCCATGGGAGTAGCTAGCTTCTAGAAGTCAGCTGTCAGTTTAGAGACTTCTTGGTAATGCCTGGAGATGGTCATGTGTAATTTTGGCAATAGCGTTTTCAATACCAAAAAGCATCTCTTTTTCTGGATTTGCTGCTTGTTGTTTTTCTCCGCAAACATCCAGGCTCTTCCACGGGTTAGAGCTACGGAGCCCTGAGGGTGCAGAGACCTCCTTCAGAGTAAGGAGGGAGGAGTTAGAGAGATGGTATTATGTTATAAGACACTCTAATAACTGTGGTCTCTGCAGACTGTCAAGCACACTTCACATAAACACATCACATAATCCAAACACTTATTTTGCGTGAATGAGCTCTGTTTTCAGGCAGCAAACAATGGATAGCAATACCTGGGAAGGGTTGCCTAGTTGAGAGTCAGCCAGTTATCCAACAGTTCTTTACACTGAGAATTTCTCGTCTGGGAGAGTTGGCAGTGGTTAAACTCATTTTTAGCACCACCTGGCTCCTACCCCAAATATATAGGCACTATAAGATGCCATTTTTTTGCTCTTCTAAATCTCTGGTTTTAGTTACAAGTGAGTGGGGAAGATTGCACCTCTGTAACTCTGATGCCTGCCCTTCGATGATAAAAATTCTCTCCCTTCAATTCCTATAGAATTCTAGTAGAAATCCAAAGGCCTGTGCAGTCTGTTTGTGAATTCCTTGAGGACTTGTATTCTTGTGGATCAGGGTCCCCAGCAAGAAATGCAGGCAGCCTCTCATAGTTGGAAAAGGTACAAGAGGGCTTGTCCCCGAGAACCTCAGGAGGCAGCGTGGCTGTGCCAACACTTTGATTTCAGTCCAACAAAACCCATTTCAAATTTCTGACCTCCAGGACTGTAAGACAATACATTTCTGTGATTTTAAGCCACCAAGTTTTACTTACTTGTTACAGCCACAATGTGAAATTAATATATCCTCTCCCCAAAATAAATATAAGAATGAAAAAAATCACGTGGTTTCCTTATTTTTTTCTTCTTAAAAATACTGCTCAGTGTGCAACTGCTTTCATTAAATGTCATACTCAAAGGTGATTGTTACTGATGGTCTCTCAAATCATTTAGTATCTTTTTCCAATTTCTTGATCAAGATCAGAAAATGACTGAATAAATAGTGCTTCATAAAGCATAAAACAAGAGAAGCTGCTTGGAACAATTTGGCAATAAATTAACTTCATGGAGAACATTGACCTTGACTTGACTGTGCACTTGTTTTACTGTTTCTCTGTCTGGATTGTGAACTTCAGGAGGTTTGGGAAAATGTCTGCTTTCTTCACTGAAGGACAGCAGCATATGCCATCCTAAAATAGATCCCGTTGGCATATGGATTATTGTTTCTATTTTTAAAGATTTTCTTTATTTATTTGAGAGAGTGAGAGAGGGAATGCGCACACACATGAGCAGGAGGAGAGGCAGAGGGAGAGGGGGAAGAAGGGAGCCTGATGTGGGTCCAATCCCAGGACCCTGAGACCATGACCTGAGCCAAAGGCAAATGCGTAAGAGACTAAGCCACCGAGGCACTTGGCATGTGGGTTATTTTCAACTGAAGGCAACTGAGAAGAAGCAGATGTAAGGAAAACTTTCTGCAATCCCCTATCTGCCTAAAAGCAGTACATACCCTTGTAAAAGTGTCCCCTTACCCTCTCTACCCCTCCACCCGGAGAGAGAAGTTGATTGCCTGAGACAACTCTAGGCCTTTATCAGCGCAGAGTCACTACTGGAGAAATCTACACAACAGACATTATTAACTAGCTCTTATTTCCCATTAATTTCCCCCATATATTTACCTTCCTACAGTTTGCCACACTAGAAACTCAAGGTTCTTTTCCTTTTTCTTATCCCTTCTCTAAATGTAATGTTCATTTGTTGAATGCTCTGGAAGTCCAGGTTTTTTTTTTTTTTTTAAGATTTTATTTATTTATTTGACAGAAAGAGAGATCACAAGTAGGCAGAGAGGCAGAGAGGGGGGTGGGAAGCAGGCTCCCTGCCGAGCAGAGAGCCCGATGCAGGGCTCGATCATAGGACCCTAAGATCATGACCTGAGCCGAAGGCAGAGGCTGAACCCACTGAGCCACCCAGGTGCCCCGGAAGTCCAGGTTCAAACCACCCTTTGAGTTATTCATTGCTGGGCACTCCCGTATGTATGTGAGACGCATGTGTTGTTAAATCTGTTTTTCTCTTGTTCATCTGTCCTTACCAGTCTCACTATGGGGTCCTGGCCAGTGAACCTAAGATGGGTAGAGTAAAAAGATTTTTTCCTCCCCCACATCACCATATTCGGTATCTAACACTGAAAACGATTTATTGATAAAAATGAATGAATTAAACATTTTATTTTATGTAAATCCACTGCTTTATTTGCTACAAATCTACTCAAAAAATTGCTTTTCTGCTAGATAACATTCACAGAGAAATGGTTCCTCTCACTCTCACATACAGAAATGTGTGTATATCTGTCTCACTCTTCACTACTGACTACAAACAATATTTTATCAGGTTTGAGTATAAATGTTAAAAACGTCTATCACTATAGCAGATTACTTAATTACTTAATATGTTTCTGAAAGTAGCAAGCAGAAAAAATGACTAGAGTTTAGAGTTTAGGTTTAGGGTTACCTAAAAGTCAAACAGAATGTGAACGAGGTTCACATTTCCACGGCTAGGGATTCTGTCTCAGAGTTCCCAAAGTCAGCAGCCAGCCGCAGGGCCCGCTCATAGTACTCCAGGGCCTTATTTATCTCTCCTTTGACTTTATAGATGAACCCGAGAATGCTCAAGCTTTCTACATCTGATGCATTTCTATGAAGTTTCCTTAAAGCCAATTTCTCCAAAGAATTGATACTTTTATCCCTTAACAGTGATGCCTTCTCTATTTTTATTGCTTTCAGATAATGGATAATTGCATTGATCTCACATTTCTTTTGAAATTCCTGAAACTGACCATAGTGGAAATGGATCTCTTGCAGTTTTTCTTCTTTGAGTGATTTCGAGCAGAGCACTTTTTGGTACGTGTCTTCCGCTCTCCCGTAGTCGCCAACTTCTGTGTACATGCCCGCCAGGTGTATGTAAGCAACTTCAAACGTGGGCTTTTGTTCCAGAGCAAACTGAAAATGAGATATGGCTAATCTTGCCATTCTGTCAACATTTTCTCTGTCCTGTCCCCGGGGCTGCCAGTTGGCGGCTCTCTTGATTGCGATCAGTTGTGCCCTGTAGCAAAGCCCTACCTGGTGGTGCAGGAAGGCAGAGGACGGGGTGGCCCGCAGGGCCATTTTTAGGAGCCGAAGAGCTTTATCCAGACAGCCTTTTCTTCGGTAAAACTTGGCCGCGTACCGCAAGACATAGGTCTGCGAGGACGTGTTGCCTAGTGCTTCTTCTATGTACTTTTCTCCTTCAGCTTCTTGACCTACGTCCTGGAGATTCAGGCCAAGGAGAGCCTTAACATACGCATCTTCTGGGTTCAGCCTGACGGCCTCTCTCAACGCCTCGCTAACTTCTGTTGTTTTGTTAAAGCCGTCCAGGCGGTAGGTGGAGATCGCATACCCAGTGCTGAATTCAGGGTTTTCTGGGTCCAGTGCCAGAGCCTTCTCAAAGCAGGCCTTGGCCCGTTCATAGTTCTTCCCCCCACATTTCAGCAAGGCCCACCCCTCCTCGCAGTCCATCTGGGGACACTGCACGCTGTAGCGGGAGGAAGCCCCGAGCTTCTTGCAGGCGTCCTCCACCTTGTCCAGGTAAGCCTGGGCTTCCTGCGGCCTGCCCATGCGGTGATGCAGCCAGGCGTAGTTGCCCCACGTGACCAGACTTCTCGCCTCTGACTGGGCGGCCTGTTCCTGCCGGATCAAGGCTTCTGCTTCCCGCAGGCTCCCCAGGGCTTCCTGGTTCTGGCCCTTGAGGTGTTTCACGTAGGCCAGCAGGTTGTGGATCCCCGCGTTGTATCTGGTGTCCAGGAAATCAATCTCATCCAAGATCCTGTTTTCTAAATCGGGCAGCTCGGTGGCTTCCACTAGCAACTCCCACGTGAAGTGACATCTCAGCTGAACCAGGCTCTCTTCAAGGAGATTCCCTTGGGATTTGTCACTGAAAACATAGACGACAATTATTTGCAATTTTAGGAGTGCTCAGTGTAATGGAAACGAAGCCATCACTTTGACTGGTCAAGTACTACCCCCCCACTGTTCTTTCCTTCCCAGTATCTGTTGCCTTTCTGCCTTCTGTGGTCATTGACATGAAAGCCTGAGGAAATGCTAATTCCTTCATGGTGCCAACAGGTAGGGTATGTGTTCTTCAGAAGCAACTTGAAAGAGGTTAACTCTGCTAATGTCAACATCATTTTAGCCCCACCTTCAACACTACAAAACCCTTCTGTCCCTCTGCCCCCTCTCAACATTGCGATACATCCCTAAGCCCATCTGAAGAAAAGTGGAGATAGCGTCCCCCTGTGTTGGGCCTTTTTTGGACCCTGCTGGATGGCCTTCATATTTTTGTCTGTGTTCAGACATGTTTGTGGAGTGGCCTGGTTGTCGTGATCTGTCCTGGTGTCAGGGTTCCCAATCTAGTGTTGATGTCATGCGAAGGTGCTGTGAGAGGACACCGGTTCCTGCTGTGGGTCGCTGTCCAACAACACCAGGGCCTAGCTGATGGTGTGGGGCTGGCTCCCAGGTGTGGGGGCTCACTCTTCTTTCTCTTCAGGGAACTTCTACATTGTGGCTTCAGCACACAGAGGGGTGTCCTGACATTTCTTAAGTTGAAGGTTATATAGACAAGAAGGATTACCCAGAAAAAGAATATCGAACAGGAATGTGTCTATTTCATGCATTCCAGTATAAAGGTTTTTTTTTGTTTCTTTTGTTTTGTTTTTTTAGGAAAAGTGTATGCTTCAGAAGGAACATAGTATAAGATCTCTCTCTGGATGAGTTTAAGACATCTTTCTATCTCTCATTGAGGGAGGGACTTGGGCAATTTGCAGTAGACCACATTTGCCCATTCCTAGTTCCTGGAACAATGTAGGCCCTCTTAACATCTTATAAGCACAGGAAATGGTTTGGATCTGTGTGTTCCTCCCAAACTCAGCACGTCTCAAGACTGCCCGTATATAGAGAATCCCAGTCCCACTCCCTAAGTATGCTCTGATGATAGAAGTAGCAGTAAAGCTCTTTTAGCAAAATGGGAGCATGGAAATGGAGAGTGGGAGTACCCAGGGGGCAGAAGGAAGGGAACCAGGGCCAAGAGGGCCCACAGTGGAAGCAGACGTTCACTTAAAGGGAAGAGTGGCTTTCAGCCAAACATTGCTTTATGTGGAGGGGGATATCTGAGTTTGCTCAGGTATGATCTCAGGACCCCATGTCATGTCCGGCTCCATGCTCAGTGGGGAGTCTGCTTGTCCCTCTGCCCCCCCACCCCAGGCTTGTGCACGCTCTCTCTCAAATAAACCCTTAAAAAAATGAAAAGAGAGGAAAAATCCATTGATGTATATAATTCAAGCTATTTTTCTCTTGTTCACCTGGCTCTGATCAGTTGGATTCATGGGCCCAGCCACTGAAAGTGGGTTTGAAGGAGAAAGACTTTTGCCCGCCTGCACTATATAAGCTCACTTCCAGCCACCACTTTGAGTGACGCATCCCTGAGCTCCCCCATGTGTACGGGTGGATGTCCCAGTTAATAAACAGCTGTTTTTCTCTTGCCGGTCTTTCTCTTGTCAGCCTAATTGGTAGGATGGCAGGCCAGGAGTGTAGGGGAAAAAGAGTGCTTCTCCTCCCTTACACTGTCGTAAAACTTACCAGCGATTCTGACGCCGTGCTGAGCACGTGAGTCTTTTTAGCATATTGACAAACCTGAGGGGGGCCGTGAGTCGCCTCACTCCATGCTTGAAGGACCCTCACTCACCAGAACATGGTGAGACCACTGTTTGGGAAAAGGAAGGAAGAAGGGGTAGGTACCCGTGGTACCGGTGGCTGTGCAGTCATTGGCGGCAGACACCAAGGGGAGGGGCTGCAGGAAAGAGCTGACGCATCAGGCCTAGACTACGATCCTTAGAAAGGCCCTCCTGCGAGGTTTGCCCTTGGCTGGCATCTGGCAACTTGGATTTTTGGAATGTTCTCACCATTCCCTAACCGGTTAGTTTGGAATCCCGTGCCCAAAATGTTCACGCAGACAACGTGGTTAACGCTGACACCTGCTTTCCACCTGGGAGCTGGAATTTTGATATGTGCTAATAAGCAGAGGGTGCCCATGTGATGGGTCCCCAGTAAAACCCTTGGGCACTGAGGCTCCAACTAGCTTCAGAGGTGTGGTCACATTCAATGCTGGAGGAATTAAGCACATCCTGTAGGATTCTACTGGGACAGAACTCTGGGGAATTTGCGCCTGAGTTTCTCTTGCCTTTACCGCCATGTTCTATTTCCCTGTGCTGAGTTTGCTTTTGTTGTAACAAGTCTAATGCACGAGCAGGATTGTACGTTGAGTCCTGTGAGTCTTTCTAGTGAATCAACAGACCCAGAGGTGTGTCTTGGGGACTCCTGATGCCAACTCCTTGGTATTCTCATTGGAAAACACAATGTAGCAGGCCTATTAGGGAATGGTAATTCCATCCAGCGGAGCAAAGGACAGGGAAGACAGGCCAAGAATTGCTGAGTGTGAGTCTGTCTCCACCTTTCCCAATTTCCTATGAGAATGAACCAAAAATGAACCACAGAGGAAAATCCTAGAGGCCAAGGCTAGTATTTCCTGAGATGTGAAGAGATCTTTGGCATCCAGGCCTGACTTTGACAAAATGGAGCTCCCCCTGTCAGCTGCTGGTGGTTCTGGAGGGGCTGCTCCCACCCGGCACGGACATAATTCTAAATTTCTCTGCATGTAGCCTGAGGAGCATTACCACTGTCAGGGTCCTGTGAATTGGCCGGATCAGGATGAATTTTAAAACCCGAGACTAGATTGCAAAACACGGTGAGAAGGAGGAGGAAGATGGAAAGCCAGAACACTCAGGAATCACACACGGGAGTCAATGTGAGGGTGGGGAGTTTGGGCTAAGTGGAGAAAATGACAGGCAAAGAGTCTAGTAGAAATCCACAAATCGGGGCTCTGAGCTGCCCTTGTAGGAGAGCCTGAAACCTCTTGGCTTGTGCCAGCAGAATCAGGACATAGCATCTCAGAATGCACAGAAATACACGGGAGCAGAGTCTTTGGTTTCATACAGTTACGGGCTCGAGTGCCAGTCAGACCTCTCCCTAGCTGCGCGGTGTCGGGCAAGTTAGCCAACCTTTCTGAGCCTCCTACCTTCCACACCGGATTTTAGATGCTAGCAACGGACTGAGCACAGATCCTGGAGAGTAGTTCAGAGGCCAGCATGTCAACCTGCTCTTGTTTCATTGTTACTGTTTTGTAGCTTAGGACACTTACTGTTTTCTCTCCCCAGCACGCTCCTCTAGGATTCAGGGAAGCGGTTGTGGAAGATGTGATCCCCGAGCTGATGGTAATGGCAGTGTCACAGTTCTCAGTGGAGACAATGTGTTCCTATATTCTTCAAAATTTTTTGAGAGCCTTGTTCATTCCAGGCACTATGGGGCTGGGGACGGGCATACAGTTGTGAGCAGAGGACCTAGAGTCTCTGCCTCCTCGGAGCTGGTAAGCTTGAGGGGAGGAGCCCGTGGTTTCCCCTGGGAAGACTGGCACCTCCCACCCCCCCGCGCTCCTCCAATTGTCTCTTTCGTGGACAGCCCAGGAATCTGCTGGGACATGCTGTGTGGTCGCCAGTCGAGCCTGCCCCACAGCCTCGGTGGCAAAATGGCTTGGGTCTCGGAGCTCAAAATCCCCACTGGGTTCCTGGCTGCGTGAGGTTGGGTATGGCCCCAGGTAGTAAGGAAGAGAGGATGTCAGTGGAAACCAACAGTTTATGTTACTCCCTCTGGGTCTCCAGGGGTAGAGTTTTGCGAGGTCCGGCTCACACACCAGAAAGAGTGGACTGGGGGTGTTCCCTCAGACAACGGTAGACGGTAGATGGAGAGGCATCTTTTCAATAAAATTGTCCAGCAGCAAAATACATCACAGCTTACATGTGTAGGTCAGGACCAGTCAATAGAAATTCCGGGAGCCTCAACACTGTCTAGAAGGTGGATGGGACTCGAAGCATAGAAGGGCAGCCTGGGTGGTAACCCCTGCTGGGGAAACCTCCAATCTCCCTGATTGCCACCGCTATTTAGAATCTGGGTCCTTGAGCGTGTGTGTTTGCATATGGCGGGCCACTCCACACCACACTGCCCCCCAGCGGTAGCGGTAGCAGTCCCCACCTTGCCCCTAACCCCATGCTCTTCCAGGCTCTCAATGTTGGTTTCCATGGCAATAGTCTTTATTTGGGCCCAGCCACTCCTCTGAAACTGGACACAAGAGACAGTGCTACTCCAGGCCAAGGCTGGCCAGGAGTCAACAGTTCAGTGCTGGGCACCCAGCTGCACCCTCAGCCTTGCGGGAACCAGCAGACAATTCAGGGCTTGGCGGGGGGCACCTCACTGAAGTCTGCTGCTTTTATAGCCAATGTAGCTTATGAAACGCCTTCCCAGAATTCCCCTTCTGCATGAGGAAAGACTCAAGTTTCTGACCCTCCACTCACAAAGGAGATGGGAATGCCAGGCCCTCTGTCTTGTCTGGGTACTGGCATAGCCAACAGTCTTCCCCTGCACACAGGTAATCGGATGAGACCACGAGGAAAGCGTACGAATGTGGGCCTTGGAGTGGGTGAGAAGAGCCGGACGGTTGCTGCATGGAGGACGACACTATGGGCTTCCCAGCTGGGAGGTGACTATTTGAATATTTTCATTCACTCAGGAGGGTGAAGATCTTTGTCCCCCTCCAGCCTCGTACTAGTGCCCCTTACACACAGTCAGGGAGGCCACTGCCCACATATTTCTGGGTGAAGAACCACCCTGTTAGTAGCAGCAGCTGCTGACTGGGCCCAGGGCTCAGCGCCTGGCGTGGAACAGAGTCAAGGGCAGGCCAGCTCCTCCTCAGACCTACCCCGGGCATGCTGAAAATAGTACGGTACGACTGGATCATTTAGCCACTGTCCCTAGATACTGTCCTGAAGA